GAAGCCGGCTGGAATACAATGCGCAAAACAAGTCAAATCAACCCTAACAGCATGCAAAATAATAAAATTTTAAATTGTGATTAAAATTTTGAGATTTCCGCGCGAATAAATCAAAGAGATTGGAATTAATTTGTTATCAGGAATAATTAAAGCAGAAAATATAAAAGTTTAGTGTTTTTCTGTTTTTTCTTTGCAAAAAATGCATTTTAAGTGAAAGTAAAATTTTTAGCTCTAATTTTAATAATAATTACATCAAAATCATAAAAATATTAATAGAATATTTAATTAAAACATTGCTTTTTCAAAATTTTGATCTTTTACGCAATTTTTACTAGTTTTTCGAATTATTTTAACAAATTTGAACAAACAATTTATCAAATTGAAAAAAAAACCGCTTTTAAAACTATTAAAATAATAATGAATATTGATAATAATAATATTGAAATTTCGATATTATTTAAATTTTTATTTCATATTTGTCTATTTTTCGATCAAAAACATGAAATTTTTGTATTTAAATCAATTTTTTGCATTTAAAAAAACTTTCGCTTATTTCCTATTGTTTTCACATGTAAAGTGTCTGTTCAAAACCTTTCCAACCTTGTTTCCATTGACTTTATACCATGTTACTGTTACACTTGAATTGTCGTTTGTCACACGGCCATAATTCTTTCAGCGTTTTGCTCGGCACGCTCGCGAAAAGTGAAATGCGAAATGTGAAATGCGCTGCGCTTGTACCTAAATATGTTATGCAAAGCAGGTGTGGATTTCGCACCGCACGTACGCGCACACGGTGCTTTAAATACTAAAGAATAAAGCACACAAGTAATCCAAAAAATATTTATATTTATCTCTATCTGTCCAGCGCAAACAAATAAAAATAATCCTAGCAACTCATATATACTTCCTACAAAGGGAATACATTTCCGACATTCAAACATTATGTTTATATTTTATACTTTCTTCTTTTATTACGTGCAAGGTGTGAACTTACCTCGCGTATTATGTTATACACTCGTGGATTTATACGTTTCTGTTCCTGCTTGTTTTATTATCCACCAAAAGCGGCAGATACGAATCGTGTAATGCGAAATATGAAATAGAAAAATAAATAATCATAAAAAACACACACACAATGCATGTGCATGCACACGTTGCAATGCAATGCGCAGTAAGTATAAGCCGGATTTTACAATCTCACGCCTTGAACCAATTGAAACGTCGAGGAAACCCAAGAAAATCCGCAAAACATTTGTGTTGTTTTGTTTCGTTTTTCCAACGCTCTCGCTGGCACATTGAAACCTTATTAAAGTTCTGCGACCGTGTATAGCTTACTTACGTAACTCGGTGTAATTTTATTTTAAATTACCTACGACCTAAATATAAACTAATGCAATCAATAAATTACCGCCGATTACTTCCAATTATTTAAATTGATTGCTATTAGGCAACCAAAACTACATAATAAATAATAACAAGTGTTTTTAGCCATAAATTTATTTTTTATGTTTTTGTTAAATAAATTACTCGAAAAAGAAAAGATGCACATGCGACTTCTTGATTTCAACGAGTCGTAAAACTTTATGTCTCAAAGCGATACGATTGCATCGCGCAACTTGCATTATATCTAAAGCAATCGCATCTATATGCGTGTGTGAGTGTGTATGTTTGGTTGCATATGCAGTATGTGCATATTTGCACACGTGTACAGCACGAGAAAGGAAGAAGCTAATAAAAAGTTTTATAAGAAAACGCGCTGCTTTTCGTTTGGCGTTCGGAAGCCGGAAGTTCATGTCGAAGCAGTCGGGAAGTTAAACGACAACAAACGAAACGACTTCGCATCTAAATAAACTCACAAAGAACTTCAATCAAAACAAAGTGAAAAACTATACATAAATATATCAAGTATATTGGGTTGCCTAAAAATTTATTATGTTATTTGTTGTTTAAATATAATGTGATGTAATCTATGTTGATTTTCATGGCACTTTGACTCTCAATTGCATTTTTATGCATGTCCAGTAGATTTTCCGTCTTTAACGACCAGTTACAGTGCCAGAGTGCGCTGATAACTCGCCGATGAAGATATCTACGTCGGGAAAACGCGATGGTCGGTCGCGACGCCGCGTCATAAAAGCGTCGCTCGTAAAACGATCATGTTTTTCGTCTCCGGCGCGCGCGAGCTTCTGGCGTCTTCCTTGTGCACTGCCGGCAGTGATTTTACAATCGTCTCTTTAAACCATTCGACCATTATACGATTATTATACTTGCCGTCTGCGTCCGATAATTTATATTGCTATTTGTGATCGCGTAAAGTGAAGCACTCGCTGTTAAAAATCAACATAACCTTAAAACTTTCAATACAATTAAATTAATTTATATTAAATTAAAATATTTTGGTTTAAAAATCATTAATTTTAATATGTCCAATGTTGGAGATGCGGTATAAGTACCGAACATATAAATTCCCTATGCTAAATTTAATATTTAATATATGCAACCAATTGTACACATTTCACACTAAATTTTTGTTGTGTTGAAAAAAGAGTTTTTCTGCTCGACTAAATCGAAACGAACTGCGATTGCAGTGAAGAACTGCGAAGAGAGATTAAACGAATTAAAGAAATCGAATCGACGTGTAATTAACGCGTCCGGGCATTCTTTACTCCGTCGCAATCCAAGCATTAATCTTTTATCTATCCAATTAACTGCCCGGAGGCGGCCAGCCTACGCGTTCGGCATAATTAACTACACCAGTACCATTTTGACATCAATAATACAGCTCACGACCACTGAACTGCACAAAACCGAAAAAATAACTGCGTTGACGTGAATTAAGTTGCCTATATTCAACTAAACTTGTATTTAAATCTACGTAATTATTTTACTCTAACGGATTAATTCCGCATTCGAGAACCTTTATGATACACGATAATTACAGCTTTGAGACAAACAGGAAATGCGCTGCTTCTTTGATAATTCAATCAAGATGAAAGATTTCCAAGTATGCAAAGCTGCGAACGTAGAAGTTAAAGTTTCAATGATATAATTACAGTGCGAGAGGCGCGTACATTTCGTTTATGTTGTGTGCGTCTACAGCTCGATTTCGCAGAATATAAATCTTTAATGCTTTGAATATGTCTTGCAGGCATTTGTGTATGTGTAATGTGTGTTGCATACACATACACATTCGCATACAAAGTGATTATGACTGCGCGTTATTTGTGATATGTTTCTGATACTTTGTCAGTTGCTTCTTGCTTCTTTGCTTCCTGTTCCTCTTCGCTTGCTGAAGGCAACTCCTTTGTAATGCATACGTTCTTATTCTTACAAATGAACGCACAAGATTTACCTTTGTGAAATATTCATACAGGATGTTTTTTTAAATTTATTTTAAATTTTTTATGTTTTTAATTGTGTTAATGAAAACACATTGTATGTAATGTTACGGTGGGTAGTGTATTATTAAGTAGGTAACGAAAACGCGGCCGGCCGGAAAATCCATGACGCAATGCGGAGCGAAAAGCTGAAGCGTAATCAAAGCTAATTAATTCGCCTTCGAGCATCGCCACCGCTGTGTTTAAACTATGCGCTTAAACTATATTTAAACTGCGATTTAAACCGCATTTTAACTATGCGGGTATATTTTAACATTATATTTTTGCTTCCAGCAAACTGCGCTTGCAAAACTCTAAGCCCCGAAGTTCGTTTTAATTTTAAACAGAATTTATGTCGAGAACAACATAGGCAACCCAATATCCACGCCAAAAAGAACTCACATTTTCTCACGTGTATTAATAATGCTTTAAACATTAATAATTATGTTCTACAGTTGTGTAATAAATGTGTCGAGATAAAATCAACATTTTACACATGTTTACAACATTATTACTAATACGCTGTGAAACAATACGTGATTATATCATCAAAAACTGGAATTATTACGCACGCATGCGCACAAATGTTACAATATATTACAATATAATAAGAGGTAATATTTACTCACATGCTCCTGTTTTATAACTGTGTGGTTAACTAAACATTTTTTAATTTTACACTTTTTTTCGTTGGTTTTACACTCTAGTTAATATTGTATTGTGTTTGGTGTGTGTGATGCGTGAATATTCTCTTCTCGGCATCGGTTAATTGCGTGGCTTTAGCATCGCCTTTCGCATTTCGACGCCGGCGCGCTCGCGATAACGCGATTACATAAATCGCACGCGAGGTAATTAAGTGGTTATGCTAATGCTGGGCGTAATATCGGCAATTACCACGCGCGTTCGGAACAATAACGTGTGCGCGACGATGATCGCCGCCGCATGTCAATGGAACTAACCTAAACCGGCTCTATTGTTGTGAGTAAATTCAAATTTGCTCCAATACTGTTTTAGATTTTACTATAGGCAACTTATTTTACTGCATTATACCATTATAAAGTTTTGTTTACATTTTATGTATACATGATGCGCGAATCTTTTTTGTTTCGTATCGTTTTCATCACGTCAAACTGAATTATTTATGATGCTCGTCTCAATGGTTATTATCCTCGTGTTGTTTTCGTGAATTTGTTTTCCGCCTTGCTCCTCGAGAGAGTTCATCCGGAAGTTTTGCCCTTGGCGAAGACGCTGCTGGTTTTTAAGTCGAATTACACGTGGATGGCTGGTTGCCTACCACGCGGGGATGAGCCAAAGCTGAATGGATGGATGGAACGTCTGTCAATATTTGCTTTCGTCTCTTATGCATATGGATGGAATATAATATGCAAATGCTTTGTAAACTTCCACTGGCAATGCGTATGAGATTCAGCCGCAGCGAAATCAAAATTGTGGTGGCAATAAAACTAACAGACATAAATATATTATACACATATGAACACATGTTTCGATTCACATGTTTCTATAGGCAACCAGTAATACACAATAAACAAGCCTATATACCTAATACTGGTTATTCAATAAATATATTTAACTAATAAAATTAATTTAATTTCTTTGTTTCAGAACATCCTGGATAAATTCAATCCAGGCGCTCGGCAGATGATCAACGCCGGAAAAGCCTACTTGAAAGCATTGCACGGTAAAAATTCAATTTTCTTTATTCTTTGTGAGAATCTCGCCAAAATTAATATTAAAATTAATATAGACGCACCTCAAGCGTCTTTAAAATGTTAATCTCGCATTTTGCATATTAAACCCGAAACCGAAAACTCATCTGCGTGAAATCCGATTTAAAAAATCAAAAAAATATTTCCATCACAAAGAAATTCATTTAAATGCCTTTTTCATTGCAATTATTAAGATATTGATTTCGTAACTAGGTTCTATGGACAAATAAAAAAAACTTTAACAGATTGCAGGTGACATCAAACGGCGTCGCCATATAAATGAGTTCATTATAGAATGTCACGTAGATGAGCGAATAATAACGCACGTGTTGGATGGAAATTCATTTCATTTCAGCTCGAATTCATTCATCTTTGATTTAGATTTGCTGTGAAAAAATCAATCAAATGCGAAGCGAAATAATGATTAATTCATGATGTATAGGCAACACACATTACGCGAATGTCAACACGCGTAGACATAAATATGTCGCGCTTGTTTTGTTTGCTTGTGATTTGTTTTGTTGTGTTTTGTGTGCGGCTTTTTGGCAGGAGCAGAAACAGAAACAGAAACTGAGCCTGAACATCGCGTCGTAATTCGTAATGAAGCGGTCGCACATCAGCGACGCAAACAACGTAAACATATCACGCTGGTTATGCGACTAAATCCAATTTATGTCGTCCGAACATGAAAAGCCCATGAAAAAACAAAAGTTATTATGATGCCTGCAACCAACAACACACACTAAACAAAACTTGTTTGGAATACTAATTTAAAATAACCTTAAATTTGCGCTATTCTTGTTTGAATAGTCAGTAAATTAGTGATTTAATGTCTCGGCATTTTATCGTAAACTTCCACGCCGACAAGGAATTAAAACCGAATGAAAGATCGTAAAATCGACGCGTGTTAAAACACAATAAATCATCTTCGAGCGAGCGAAGGCGGCGGGCGGCAGGGGCAGGCTTATGTGATTAATGTTGGAATTTGTAAAAATATCGGCAGGCGGCGGCAAAGTTTCGGGACGTTCTCGCTTCTTATCGCTATCTGACGAATAAAATACATTGTCTGGAAGACATTTGCCATCCCACCGCACGGGCGCCGCCAAACTACTCACCTACTCGCCCTTCGCGCGCGCGGTGTATTTCCGGCGGCGGCTTATGGCGAAAGCAATTGAGCGACGACCGATGATAAATTCGGGAAACTCGACGGCCCAACGACCAAATTCGACGCGCGGGCACGTGGCGTGCATATGGTACCCGGAAAAAAACCAGAAGTATCAGAAGAGGACGGAAAAAACCGGCGAACGTTTTAGGAAATATAAGAAAACAAAAAATTGAGGCCGGGAAAAACTTTAAGCTGCGACAAAATTGCCTATTTTATATACATCCGAAAGGATTTTCGAAGATACGACACGAAAATTCACATTCAGACATTTTTAGCTTTCATACTAACAGTAGGCAACCAAAAATACTTTAGGTGTTTTTGTTTATTTAAACATTACGGCTGGAAAAAGCCGGAGAGGAAAAAACTAAACACATCAATATCGAAATCGGCTACTTTTACGACACAACATTTTGCTCTCTTCGGTGATTTCTTCGACTTCACTTCGCTTTCGTTTACGCCCCTCAAGACTTATTTTTTGCTGTGGACGCTTGTTCGTGCGGAAGTTTGACTTTTAGAAACATGTACGCCACACACCAAGTTTTATATGTTAGCTGCCAACCCCATAAGGGGTGAAAATAATACTCAAATGTTGATTTTCTAACTTTTAGCTTAAAATTTACACTTTTGACACTTTGAAAATGAAAATTTTATCAGCGTAATTCATAGTTTGGTTAAAATTTAAATTCAAACGAAGTGGGAAAAGGTCGAGACGTTTAGACGTTTATATTACACTTTGGCGAACAAATTTAGTTAGCGGCAGACGTGTGGACGGACGGGGCGAAAGTCGAAAGTGCCACTTACACTTTACATACTGGTACTCGTACTCGCAAGTTCACACTACAAGTTCAAATAAACCGAAGCGGAGAGCAAAGGCCACAGTGAGAACAGACGCTGAAAGTAGTAGTTCATGTCGTCATGTCATCAAGCCATCATGGCGGCCGACACGCGCAAGAAACTCGCAACTGTTGCAAGTTTTGCGTCGTGATGGCATTCCGACATAAAACAACACGCATTTACACACGCCAGACTGAATTATATGTTAGTATAAAGTTTATATAACAAAATATGTAAATACTAGCTTTAACCCGCGGCTTCGCTCGCGTTGAATCCATCAAATAAATATTAGAAATCATTATACATAGTTGAAACGGTTTGATAGAAAGAATGTATATTTCACTGCTTGGCTAGGATTATCTATGTGAAAAAATTACTACATGCAATAAAGTTTTAAATTTTAGATGGAATGCTAGATGGCGTTAAAGTAGTCAATTAGCCAGATGCAGAGGTATTATTGGCTAAACAATTTCTTTATTTTATTTAAAAAATAATTTTTTTATTAAATAAAAAAGTAGCCTATAACCATTCGGGGACCATCGGGGACCACTAAGAATATGTGTACGGATTTGATGTTGACGTAGCTGTCGGTAATACAGTGTGATGGTACTATAGTACTTAGGTGTGAGTTTCATTGCTGGAATGCTAGATGGCGTTAAAGTAGTCAAATAACCAGATGCAGAGGTGTTAGTGACTAAACAATTTCTTTATTTTATTTAAAAAATAATTATTTTATTAAATAAAGAGTAGCCTATAACCTGTCGGGGACCACTAAGAATATGTGTACAAATTTTCATAATGATCGGTTAAGCAGTTTTGCGTGAAAGCACGATAAACTTCAGGACATACGCATTTATAATATTAGTAAGGATTTTCGAAAAATCTTGTGTTTTAGAGAAAATATTTCATTTTTGCATGTTTTATCAATGTTTTTCCTTTGTTTTCTCTTGTGTAAACATGCTGGGTTTAAAGTACCCACTCACACAACAAAAAAACGGAACAACTCCCAATAGAACTGTCGTTACAGCGTTATACCGGAAGTGAACGCGAGTCGCTCGACTGCCGGGGAATACGAGAGAAGTCGCGCTTAATTAGTGCTGACATACGGACGTCCCGCCGAAAGGCAAACGATGCCCTTTTCGCCCCTTGCGAGCCGTTTGGTTTCATCCCCGTGCACTCGTAATGCTTAATTGATTGACGCTTATCCTTTTTTCCGGAAATCTCTTCGGGGTATATCAACAAAGGTCAACATTCAATGAAAAAATACTTTTGCTACAGATTTGGTTAGTTATTAATAAAATTTACTTCGTTTTGCATTATGTTATCCAAAAAAAATATTCAAAAATTATTCTAAAAATTAGTGTTTTGTTGTTAGTAATTGAATTTCATAAAAATATTTAATTATTTTTGAACATTTGATTAAAAAAGTTTCTCAACTTTATGTAAAACTTTATTTCTGCAGCATTTTCTAAAATAATGCTAATAAACAGCATCCACAATATCACCGCGAGGAAAATTTTCGCGACACACAAACATAACCTTAAAAACACATAGGGGTGTAATTCCGTACAACCCGCTATCGTCATGGATACCATGAGACATACTGATACCTACCCTCGACATTGGAGACGCATTTTACTTACTTTTATGAGGATAATGCAGCTGCACACTTTTATCACACCAAAGAGACATTTTTTCTCCTCTTGGCGTTCAATTTCAAAAATGTGTTAAAAAAAACCATAAGCTTGGGGGTGCAAAAAAAAACGCATCCGTATTTTTCTCCCCTCCGTATTTTGAAAAGTAACAAATTCATATTTAGAAACGCATTTGCGCGCCTATCAAAAACACTAATGATACTTTGTGTGTATTACGGTAACGGTACGCTATAATATTGCACCCCTCCTGATGCTTTGGCGCTTAACATTTTGAAATGTAATTACTAGCCACACTGTAATGCACTGTCAATGATTGCATTGCGAGTGCATTTCTAAAAGGGGCGCTGTCATTGTTGGTTATGTATTGTTGCAGTGTACAAACGCAAAATCCGAGCGGCGTAAATTCCGACTGATTGATGTCTGCTGGCCAGGACAACACACAATACATGTGTGATTGTGCATTGAATACAATCCGATCATATTCGGAACGACGCATTCAATTGCAATCTGAAACAAGAACACTTTACTCGTCTGAACTATAGGCAACCGAATACACTCAACGATTTAAGCTTAATATATGTAAATGCAACATTTTGTTTGTATTGTGTTTAGCTCGGCTAGTTTACATTTACTTACAGTTACGAACGAAATGAAAACGTTTTCAACAGTTCTAGTTGCCTTTCAGCTTTGAGTCAGAGTGGCCCGTTGGACGTTAATGTTGATTGCGATTGCGATGGTGAATGTGATTAAAGTGAAACGATCCAATTTGGAGTCGCAAGAGTGAAGTACAACATTTCCGACACTTTCCGGCGCATTTTCTACGCGCTGCTTGCAAGAAAAGGGCTCGAAGGAAGCAGACGACTGTTACAGCTAAAGGGGGAGAGCCAAAACGCTTCTTCTCTGCGATTAAACAATCATTTGACATTCATCTGACTGATGAATTTAATTTCGTCTGACAGGCAAACAAAGTGCCTATAAAGTTATTATACGTTAGGCAACCAAATATACTTACTTTATTTATTCGTAATTTTTCCAGTAAATTCTCTAAAACTAGAATCAAAAAAAGGGAAACAAAGAAAATAATACGTTTGCGTTGTCATCATCCCCTAGTTGTCCTTTCGTCTTCTCGTTTGTTTGGACGCGTCGTCAGTGGCATTTCAATGCCATTGCTTCAACAACCCGCCTTCACTTTCCACTCTCGCATCACTGAAACGCTGAAACAAACGAACGCCGAATTCCCCAGCAGGCGACATTCGAGCCATTCGAGTGCGGAACACAAAAGACACTCGCAAGAAACTCGCGTAGCACGACCTATTGTTGAAAATAGATCTATAGGGAATACCAAGCAAGCTACTACAGACGAGATTATCACTAGATAAGCCTCGAATGACATTATCTCGAAGTAGCGAAGGATATAACACATAACACCACGATAACACCATTCAAGCACGCGTCTTGCGGGTTCACACCTTAATGTAGGCAACCAACACGACAATTCAAAACAAACAATGCGTCAAAGCTGTTGGTTAAGTTGCAAACTTTCGCATATTGTCCAAAGTTAATTTTCTATTCACGTTATGACGATAATAATACGTTTTGCAAATGGGATACAATAAAAAATGTTCAACATTCGAACATCTGGCTGATACGAGCGTACGAGACGCAATAAAATATTGAAATGCAATACTAGATCAATCTGTTTTCCCCATCGAAGCGTAACACGTCGTGGACGTGATGCAGTGCGTTGCGAAACTCGAAATTGCGGTTTTCGAGTGGCGCTGCATTGGAAATACAGTGAAAACGTAAAAATGCAGCAATTCCCAATTCAATTTTTTAGATTTCGGTTGTGGCTTCTCCGCTAATCCGACCGAATTCAACTCGAGGATTTCATATTCCGATTTTATGGATTTCCATGGATTTAATATATCTGTTATTTTGGTTGCATATACAAACTTTACTCATGTTTCTCATCCCTAATTTAATGTGTTTGTGTTTCACATGTGCGTTTTGAGTTTCACGTTTAATTTTTCAGCTTGTAAGCGCTTTCAATTTTTTGTCAGGCGCATGGTGCTCGTTGATTGGATGATGTATCTCTCCGCGCAGTTTGCAAACGAGGATGAATTTGTTCGCCAGTGTTGGCACATCATTCATTCATTCATTCATTCTGGTGTGTGCTAACGAAGAGCGGCCGGAACTTTGCGCCGGCAATAAAATCATCAATCAAAATTAATTCCGATTGCGTATTTCGAGCATTTCCCACCGAGAAACGTCGAAAATGTTCGCGGCGCTCATTTGTTTGCGCGTTTTACTCGAGTTTAATGCTTCTATGCACGAAAGACGCAATTAACAAGTACTTCACTTCATTTTAACTAGTTTTCACTGCACAACTGAAACATTAAAACGCGATTATGTTCAAGAGTCGAACAAAATTCAACACAAACTTTAAATGTAACCATTTTATTTCAGTATTGTTGAGTTTCGGTTGTCAGTTTGGTTGCCTATAGTAAAATTTAAACTTTGGTTAAGTATTTGTGTGTTATTTTGTAAATTTCAGTAAACAAATGTTTTGATTTCTTGATTTAAGTTGTTTTGAACTTCAATATCCAATAAAACAATCAAAGTGTTTTAATAGCTTTGCGCTGTGTGAGTGTTTTTATTCATCGTGCGTATTTTTTTCTTCTATATCTATGCTTGCGATACGGGCATCTCAGGAAAAATCCAGATTTATGCCCACAAAGCGATTTACGCGAAAGCCGCATTTTCATCACGCAATCTCCACTTCTCTTCAGTCTCTCACAGCGTGCTCTTCGGCCGCAACGCAAACACAAACGTCAAAAGAATTTTCCACTTTTTCATTTTTTATTTGTTCCGCGAGCGCGCTTGTGGTTTACAAGCTTTTTATTTCCTTGCAAGCAAACGGAAGACTCGCCACGCATATATTGATTTATATTTTGATATTAAATTTCGAATTGATGTTATTGTTCCCTCGCGGAGACAACACACGAGGGATATTTACATAAAATTTCCGTCTTGTAATATATTCTCGATTTGTTTCCCCAGCCCTGCACACACAAACAAAACCAACAAATAGATTGTAAAACAAAAACATTCATTAATATGAACGCTGTCAACTTTGGCGTTTTTAGACGCAAGCCAGTTTATTACTTCTAATAAAAGTCGGCGTCATTTGTTTCGGTGCGGTGGCCATTTTGTCGCGTTTCCTTTGTACAGTTCCGCGTAGTTTCGCCGGCCACGAACAATATGATGCGACATGGCAACTTGACAAACGGTTATCGTCCGCATCGCCGCCGCCGCCGTCGCCGCGGTAATTATGACGCCCGCAGTCGTTAAAACATCACACAATTTATAACTATTTCCTAAAGTGCTGACATCTATCACCGCGCCAAACCAACTAACCTAAAAACCTACAGTTTTACGTGCAAGATACGCGTGGTTTTATTTTAAGGTTATGTCGAGTGTGTAAATCTAAAGCGAATGAGTTTAAAGGTTAATGTCTGTGTGTGTGTGTCCGTTTTCGAGCGGAGAGTTTGCCGTTGAGTCAATTGGCGAGATAATCGCCGTAATTCGCATGCGACCGAATTAATCTGGGCGAATCTGTGCAAACATGTGTGTTGCAGGGGTTGCAGCGTACGAAATCCTGCAAAAGGATCGTAATCCTTTACGTTTTATGCCTTATTTCGTAAACAAATTTCATATACCGAGTATTACAAAATATTCCATCATAATAAAACTAAACAAACATATAACATAGTTTAACTGACGCCATTTTAATAGCTATCAAATTAAGTTAGTATTTTGTTAGTAGATGTCGCTACGAGTAAATAAATTTAGTTTAATAGTATTACCTAAGTAAATTTGTGAATACTACCGACGCTGTAAGTCTTCAACGAAACTATCGCAGTATTTCATGAAAGCTACTCCTGCTTTCAGAAGGCGGAGGGCGGCGAGGATCGTAGTTGTCAGAGTATAGAGAATGCAACGCGATACAAAAGTAGATAGCGGATTAGTTTAATGACCGTCGACTGCGTCAGTTTACAAGCGCAGCGCAATCTTTGAAAGAAAAAGATAACAAAGACCAGCGACTAACTTAATGAACGCAATCAAAGGAAACAATGATAAAATTAAAATTGCATTTTCTCTTGATTCACTCTTCTATTACTTACTGTACTTTATTACTTAGTAGTAATATCATCTGAACGAAATAATAATATTAATTTTGTGTATTTTTGTTTCGCTGTGTCTGATGATGTAATCCACTGCGCAGACGAATTCAATTCTTATCTGCAATTCCTTCCTTCGTTCCGCAGGACAATGTAATCTTATCTTTTCGCGCTGGCAGTAGATGAGCATTCGGCTCTGGAGAGACACAAACGTGAGCTGCAGTTTGCTTTTCATTCACTGCATTCAAGATGGCGACTACAATAAAACATACAATGTGTTCACATGTACACAAAGTTTATGTGTGCAGTGATAAGTGTGTCATGATACAACACAAAGTTTCGAAAGTAAACATCAAACAAACTACAAACACCAAACATAATCTAGAATGTAAGTTAGTAGGTATGTAGGCAACACACAAAACAAACAAAACAAAAGACTATATAAATCAATCCACGCATCATTTAGCTATTAATTATTTAGCGTTATTGATATAATTAATGATTGTAAATTGTAATTTATCATCCAGTGTCTTTGTACATGTTAACTTGTCCAACACACAATGACAATATTTTGCCGCTGCTGTTAAGATGATGATGATGATGATGTAAACGAGATGAATTAAAATCCCAAAACGACGATCATCCTCAAGTCTCAAACTCGTACACTCCATCCAATTCCATCGATGGGCGAGTTTTCGGCGTGGATGTGTGTATGTGTGTTGGTAACTTAGACGCGGCGTGACTTTAATTGCCCTAATCCAGTCATAATACCGGCGGGACCGCGCCGCCGACGGGGGGTGGCGCACCCTTCGTGCACTAATAATACCCTTCCAAACGCGTCGAGGGTAATTATGATACACGTGCTATACTGTTAGGAGATGCACGAAACTCAAACTCTGGACTGAATTTTGGTAATTATTATATACACGCATACAAGCAGATAGCTGATAAGGGTTGGTATGTATGGATAATACGTGTATTATGTTATATTTTTGTTTTGCATAAGAAATTTAAGATGAAATCTGAATGTTGAAAAGTAAAGAAGTGTTCATTTGGTTGCCTATAGTCTCACTTATAAAATAAATGTATTCAAGGTTTGGCATGTCTTGACGCGTTTGCTGCCAATTTGAACATTTCTCTACAATGTACAACGAAAACGATCCACGAACAAAAGTGCTAAAAACTATTTTGGCATAAAATTCACAAGTCGTAAAGCGTCATAAAAGTAAAAGGAATCATTGGGATTTGTGACTGGTAGATGTCGCTACTTTGGTGATGTTTATTTCAGCTGCCATTTTGCATTGGCTGCGGAAAACTTGGAACGGTTTCAACCGGCGATTCATTCATTCAGTTATTCATTTCGGTAGTAAAGAATAGAAAGAATTGCAAACAAAGTAATGAACGTTGAAAACGAACTAAAATAAAATGCATAGAAGTAAGTAGGAGTAAAAAGTGCAAAATTACGAGATTGTTTGCTTTCACAGCGTCTAGGATCTCAAAAGGCGCGTGCAGACTGTAGAAATCTTGAAAAATATGAATTTATGAATTTATTACCAGTGGACTTTATTACATTTACTTGATGTTTGAGTTCATAAAAAAATTGTATTAGTTTTAAAATTCTTACTTCATTACTTTTATTTTGCATGGTGTAAAAATGGGAGAAAATAGAAAATAAAGTTTAAATAAACATAAAATTGATAAAAATAGTTTTGTACAAAAAACATAAAAAATAGTTTTTTTTTATATATAATCTAAAAATTAATAATTTAGCAATTTTATATGTACAAAACAAAGTCGGATTAGTTAAAACATTTATAACTAAAGAACGGCTGGACAGATTTTGATGATCAATGATTTATTGGATTTGCCTGCTCTCTGAATAGCAGAATAACTATTAAAAATATTAAAAATGTTAATTTAAATTGTGTTAAATATGAGATGGAAATTGGTATAGAGATTCAATGGTAGCTATAGCTAAATAATTGATTCCCAGATGGCGCTAAAGTGCATTGTTAGCCATTCTTATTTTTCTATCAAAAAGTTGCGAATATTATTGAAGGAATCGATACATATTACGTTTTCTACAAGGAAGAAAAAATTAATTACATTTTTATTAAAAACTACGTGGACGAAGTTGTTAGTAAAAGCTAGTAAATAATATTTATGACAAATGTCTACTTTCAGTTTATTAAATAACGCACAACGAGTCGCGATTACAAATGACTTTTCTTCGTAACAACCAAAAAAAGCAACAAAAGCCATCTGAAGATGACGTCACTCAATCCCGAGCGTCTTATTAATGAAGCGCCGCCATTTTATTCCTTGACTCGAGACAATTTTTTACGTTTTTCATTTTCTTCCCTCACAGCTCATACCGAAAGGGAGTGGCGCTGTAATTTATTTCCCGCGTTTTTCTTTTGTTTTCGTACATGAGCTGTGGAAGGGTTCTTTGAGTTTAACTTATGAGCTAATTTTTTGAAGAGTGTTAATTTAATTCTTTCCCACTGGTTAATTAAGTGGAATATATTTTATTACGTTACGCACAACGCGCGACGAAAACTTTTCGCTGCGATGATAAACGTAATTAATGCGCGAAAATAAAACGAACAAAGCACGAGTTAACTTTGTTAACATTTTTTTCATTTTATTTTAACAATTAGCTTTGTATAATCAAGTTTTTTTTGTGTTGGAAATTTTCGTAAATTTGTGTATTATAGAGTTTTTGAAAGTTAATTAACACGCAAGGCCACAAGAGAGATCCGCGTGTGTATGTTTGTGAAGGTGTAATAATTAAGTTTGACATAACTAACTTTTTTCGGTCTTGTTGCAGGTGCGGCGGCGGCGAGCAGGCTGTACGTGGACGCAATTAACAAGCTGGCGCGTCAGGCACAGCAGGGCACATGGGGTGGATGCTCGGATGTCGGTAAGTGGACCATTTTTCAAACATCACATCTTTACCAAACCCCCAAACAAGAAGACGAAAAAATACGTAACTAAAACCCAAAAATCGAAAATCGCTTAGTTACATCTTCCAGCCCATATCCTGCGCTTTCGAAGGATACATATTACTTCAACATATTACGTAAAGTGCATTCTATGCATCTTGCAAGGGGATGAAATTTCATGTTGAGAAGAGTGCGGCGGAAAAAAAGGGACGAAAAGGCAGAAAGTAATTTTCAGCACGAACTACTTGCGCGAAGGGGCAATATAAATGCATGTGGAGGGTGTGCGGGACGTGCACAGGACGCGTGGATGTTACAGTGATGTAGTGGTGCATTTTTACCCTTATAACCACCCTTAAAAGTAAAAATATTTGGGATTTTTCACTATTTTTTCAGAAAAAAAACTGAATTTTTGTTAGAAATTTGTTAATAACTTTTAAACTATTTAAGCTAGGTAAATATTTTAAACATAAAATAAAAGATATTTTTAAGGCTAATAAAATGATATATTTTTGAAAATTCTATGATAATCTGCGTTCAAGTTATTAAAGTTTAAAATTTTATTTTTAAATATTTTTGCTAATTTTACGTTTTTCATCATAATTTCTAAACTAATTATCACAAATTACTGTGCATAGTCTCAAATCAAAGAATATTTTATCAGAAACAGAATGCACTAACATTTATTCTCGTAAAATATCTGCAAGCCAAGTAATTAATTTTTTAAAGTTTAAAAAACCTGTCAATTTAAATCATCAAAGTTTTATTTTTTAATTTTTAGTTCTATCCGCTACCAAAACGAAAACAGTTTCGGTCGAGTGAACGAATGCGTTTAATTGCCGATCGGAAAATCGGAAAATCGCCTCCCGACTATCTCGCCGCTCGAAATTCAATTAGCTTTGACAGATTGTAATTGAGTGTTAGTTGCGAACTCGCAATTGGCAACTAGCCGCCACCACACACACTGTAACAATATATATCGGCGTTTGCATTTTGCGTTCTGCGGCGGCGGCAGTGGCGGCGGATGCGAAGATTAAAACCGCTGCAGATGCGCACGCAGGACAGGCAGATCATCCTGCCAATATGCTACCAGCATGCCGCCGCGAGTGGCTTTTCGTAGGACTAAACCTATGAGTAGACCTGAATTAGCCTGGCGGCGGTGTTGGTGGCGATGACGGTGGTGGAGAGTGTTATGCGCACGGAATATTCATGCTGGAATCCCGGCGTGTGGAGTTTGGATATATCTGGATATTATTATTAGTTTGCGTATTGGATTAGTGCCTGCGCCGGCGGTGGCGGTGTAATGAGCATGGAAACGCGTGTGGTTTTGCAAGGATGCGTTCAAGCTTTGCTTTAATTTCGTTCTCAAATGATACATTGTCTTTGTGCGCTTTCACTATGGATAATAATATCGGATTCGGGGATGATATTAATCAAAACAAACAGGATTCATTTGGTTTAATTAGTGTCAAAGTGTAGAAAAATTATAAGTGATTTTGTTTAGCGTATAACAAACAAACAATTAGAGAAATTTTTATCAAATATGGTAAAAAGATAGAAGATTTAATCAACTTTTATTTGATGTCAAGACAAGGTTTGTGAATTAATTATTTAGTAAGTTACAGTAAAAAATGCAAACAATTTCAGTTAGGTTCAAACAGTTTTTGTATAATTTTTGTTTACTAAATCTTTAATAACAAACGGTGGGCAAAACATTTATTTTCCAAATTTGGCGCAGTCATAGTATATTAATTCTCAAATATATTCCTGTTTAAATAAATGAGTTACGACTAAAAGTGACTCCGTTACAAACAAAAATGTAAAGAATTTCAATTTAGTGTCATTTTATTCCAATATTCATATTCTCATTTATAAACTTAATAATTCTTAATTAAATTTAAATATTTTAATAAAGATAATTTTATTTCAAAGCAAATATAACCACCTACTGATTACGGTAAAAATGTTGCTAATATCTTTATTAACAACAAAGTAATCGTAAAATTTGCAAAAAAAAAAAAACATTTTGTTTATATTTTAAGAGCAATTTATTAAATAACTCTAAATTTACTAAATATATTTCAACACAGTAAATTTTATCATAAAGAGAATTTAATTACCATCAATTCACTACTAGAACCAAGCCTTTATCTCTCTTAGTTATGCCCATACAATACAAAAACTGAATAATTTCACTCGCAAAAATTTTAATCTAAATTCTTGGCTGCGCTCATTTCTGGATTACTCCAGTATTTGAGTATTTTTACGAGGATTTTATGAATCCGGCGAAATTCTTATTCCCAGCCGAAAATAAGGATTTTACGATCACGTCCACGCTTTTCATATGCATATTGTGTCTTTGCCATCGTCGTCGAAGTTTCTCATCAAAACATTGCGCACATTTCGGCGGGAGCATTCGCACGGGCCGAGAATGGCATGCGTGACTCGCCGAAATTATGATTATACGCAGGACTCGGGAGTCAGGAGTCGGCATCGTCGGCACTCTCCCCAGGTGGGAAGAAGTAGCGGGGGCGGCGTGCCTGCAAGACAAAACGAAATTATTGGCGAGTCGGCGAGGCGGAGGCTGCTTTGCATAAAATAATTCACATTCTCATGACCCCTGCTGAGGATAACAGGGTTACCAAAGTAACAATTATTTAAAAATACGTTCTTTAATTCAAAAATAAAATTTTAATTAAAAGTGAATAAAAATTATGAATCTTGGAATTGGAATTTCATATTTTTGGTTGTGTTATTGTAGAAAGTTAAAATATTTATTTTCTTCATTTCCAGAGGGCGCCACTAGTCAAAAATGTCAAAAAATCAAAAGAAAACAAACGTTTTCCCTCGTAATAACACGTAATAACCTAATTTGTACATCAAATAATAATATTTATATTAAGTTGGTAACCCTAGATTTGAAACACGTCTGCGAAGATCTCCAGCAGAAAGATACTGCGTAGTGGGGTGAGTCGGAGTTCGGGCGCGGCAGCTTATTATTCGGTTAGGGTTAAAGGAACAATGTTTTGATAGCGAGACAGGAAAATTAGCAAAGTTTGAATTTATCAGCGCTCATCCCCCGTGCGCGTCCGTAATAACATTCGCCCTAATGCGTTTTATCTTGTTCGCATAAATTCTTCTTTATTTTCGCGAAATCGACTCTACCTTAGACGCCAAAAAGTGCGAAAAGTGTGAGTGAGGTTAGAAACACAGAAGACAATTTAGATTAAGAGAAAAGTTGCACGTTCCGTTTGAATCATTCGAATTACAATGGATTTTAGATTCATTTCAGATGGAATGATAACAATCTTAATTAGATATGAATATTAAAATCATTTATTGGATTATTATTAATGCCTAGGCAGTAAAATATAAGTTTTTTGAAGAAAACTTTACGATTCATAACTTTGTAATAAATAAACGAGTAGATTTCGGTTTTTTATTCTCTCGGCCAATAATTCGCTTTATTTCACAATCCATTTAACCGCAATCTCTTCTATTTTTAGTCCTCGAAACCTTGCCGTTGCTGGCTTTCTCTCACCCGAAGTGGAACACGACTAAAAGCTGAGATATACGATCAAATTTTATTGAAACCGCGAGTTGGCGCAACGCGTGCATCTCCCAGATTTCCCATTCACAGATTTCCATCCCTTTTCATCCCTACGCGCGCATGTTGAAAACAGTCGAGTGTTTGAACGTTGTAACACTCTAACATTATAACAGTGTAACGAAATGAGAGAGCATCGCTCCAGGGTGATATTTTAAGGGCGCAGGAATGCGTCGAGTCAAAATAAGAGCCACTTAAAGCCGACGCTTATTATAACCAGGCCCGTTTTCTCAATTTTCCCACTTTCCCACTTTCCTACTTACTCACATATTATTTCCATTAGGCGGGGAAATACGAGTAGGAGTCTGGAGGATGCATGTGTGGGTAATAATTAAATAGATACCGCACGAGGACTAGGCTGGAGGTTGAAGATTATACCGAGGGACGGGTTTTACTTTTACATGCGGATAACATGATGATGAAGTTTGACAATTTTATTTTAATCTAATTTTGGAAGCTTTTCAAGTAGGATTTGAAATTGTTTCAAAACAAATTTGATGGAGTATTTATTTATGAACAGATTAAAGTTTAAATTAGGGATTTTTATTCATTATTTGACGAGTTATTAACAAAAGTGTAAAATATTTCACGATTTGTTTTGAATGGTGAGTTTTCTTGTTTTTAATTACAAATACTTTAATTACATAATATTATATTAAGGAACAAATGGCTAATCGAAAGCATTACAGACGAAATTGAGAGCTTGCTAATTTTTTTTTATGAATTAATTTTTTTTCTGTTAGATTTCCAATTTACCCAGCTTATTTGATTGAGCATTGTCCATAAATTAAGATTCGGCGATTCGTTCCTCTCTATCTCTTTTAGTTTACGAGATATTCGCGATTGAATAAAATCGACAAAAATTGAAAAATGGCACTTTTTAGCACTTTTGGTCACGTTTTTTGACCTTTTACTATTGGAAATATTATAATTTTATATTTTTATCTGATTGAGAATTTTCCAATCTTTCATAATCAGCAATTTGTTGGTTGCTAGCGCTATTAGTTTAAGAGATATTAATTATCGAAAATCGTCGAAAAAAAGCATCAAGCACCCCCCCTTGGCAATTTTTTTCTTAAGAATTAAAATTTCATCTCTCAGATTTCCGCTTTAACTATCCTATCTTATAGAGAATAGTCCGTAGATTAACATACTGCGATCAGATCCTAATTATCTCTTTTAGTTTACGAGATATTCGCGATTGAATAAAATGGGCAAAAATTGAAAAATTTCACTTTTTAGCACTTTTAGTCACGTTTTTTTATCTTTTACTAATATTACTTATAATAATATATTAATATTATTATTTTATAATTTTATCTGATAGAGAATTTTCCAATCTTTCGATGCCCTCACCGGCGAAACAATTGTAGA